AACACTAGTTTCGTATATTTTTCAAGTGACCGACCAGGCCTATGCGAGGAGACGATACAGACAGGATGGAAGTTTGGCCTTGAAGTGGGTGCTGGAGGCTACGGTGGTAGTTGTGGAGGAGTTTGAATGCCAGTGGTAGGGCATTTTATGAGGGTGGAGGATTTGTTGGTCGTGTTGACGTTGCCATGGAGGACGCTGTTGTCTAGTTGTATGGGACCAAGAGGACTAACACGGTGTCTAAAGGTCTTGCGGCAATATAGGGAGGTGATATGCGCATGGCGGGCACATATCAGGGCTTTCTTCCCGGTTTTTGCCTAGCATGAAAGTGATGGATTCACAAACGATGCGACAGCGCGATCGTGATTGGCACAAGTTGGCATTAATTGCGGGTTGAGATGATGTGATGGTAGTTGAAAGCGCATAGATAGGGCCCTAATTGTTTGGGGTCGGCTGTTATACATTCCTGTATCCGCGTCGATATTTTTTCTTTGGAGTTTAATTGTCCCTTTAAGGGAAGCTTCCAGCAACACGATGAATTAAATTAAGCTAAATGGATGGTGGGCATGTGCATAGCCTCAATTCACTTCTTTGGTCACAGCGAATGCGTAGTCCGTTTTCTGCGACACCAGGCACTATTCCGTAGTGGAAATGCTGAAACACTTGTTCAAAATGCTCTGGACGTCCAATTTTATGCATTATTTGCCACAGCATTCTATGGTAGACTATGTCAATGACCTCTATATCGACACAGTTAGAATAGCTGCCAATGTTTAATTCTGGTAATTCTCCTTTATAACGCATGTTATCGTTGTTCCAAAGCAATGGTTCTGCGGTTTCTCCACAATACCTATTGACTATACGGGAGATAGTTTTGCCCCCAGATACTTGCTCAGGCCATTGGATAAGGTGTATGCACACATTGTTCCTAAAAAAATTAGGGAACTGCCTCTGTGTTTGTTGCGGAGCTGGTGGTTCCCCTTACGTTTGCAGATGCTGACGAAGGTCGTGTCTGTAATGTGCTCAGGGTTTTGATCTTGATTTCAGATTTCTTTAAGACCCGGCTAAGTTTGTCCATCAGACGACGTCCACCGATTTCTTCGATTCCGGTCACAACTGTATCGGCTCCTGTCCAGTGCAGCGAGTGCGGACGGTCAAGGCCAGCTTAGGCTTCCATCGGAAGGAGCCTGTTGATGACATCATCAGAGATTTCGGAAGGCCTGTTTGGTAGGCGCCTTACCTCGTTGTCCAATGAACTTAATATCTGCCTTTTTTCCGCAATAATTGTTGTTTCGAAACGCATAAACAGTAGCATAACATAAAACGACATCCAGAACTGAATAACTGAATGATATATTTGCCTCTTTGTTTAAACCCATAACTGCTTTTTAACGTTTAAGCAACCATTATCGTTTGTTTAAATGTCGTTTTGCGGTCTTGAATATCATCTTCCCAGATCTGTGCTTTCAATGCACGCCAGATATTTGCCCTAAATCCACGGCACCAGGCTTGAGAGTTGGTTTAAACTCATATTTTTTATTGTTTACTTTTTGTAGGTTTATTTGTCATCTGTACATCTATCGCCTCTGGAAATATTTTTCGAAGGTCCGATGAGAGGAGGAAAATTCATCATGACTAAAAAGCATGAGGAAAAATCGAGTTTTGACTTAGAAATCCAGCGTTTGTAGTTAATAACATCACAGTAGTAGTCTAAGAGAATTATTTGGTTGACCTAGTTCGGTAATACATTAAAACGCTTAGTTTATTTGATGAAAATACACTTTTGTTGTTGTTCGCTGTTATCTTTGCGCGCTAAGACGGCCGTCAAAACAGGTAAAAACATTATATGCCGAATGTTGCGCCACCTAGCTCTTCTTCAGTATTTCCAAATACTTCGTTCATAATAATGAAAATGTAACGATACACACAAATTGCACATAACAGAAAATCATGGGAGGCAGACAGAGTTAACGCACCTCTCAAAGTATACTTGCGCGTGGGTTCATCGGTTAGGCCGTGGATCTCGTAGTCGTAAATACGCACTTGATACGCCATTTCCGTGCGTCGCCCGTCTATTTGCTGTTCGGCCTTGCGATCGTGGACGTAAAGTGCTTGATCTGGCACGAGTTCGTAGTAAGTTATAAAAACTGGAACATCTTCGTAGGCTTTAGCCAAACCATAGGCAATCTTCACATTTCCGTAGGTTTTTGTAAATCGTGGTTCAGCTGTTTGGGAATAAGAAGTGAAATTACGTAAAAAATCGTGTACAAACTGAAGTAGAACATGACAACAAACTCTCAACTCATAATGTGCCTGGTCTATATTGCCTTAACCATGACTTGACTCCCAGCTCTTTCCATTTTGTTGGTAGGAAGTCTAACTGTCAATGCGAAACTAGTCAAAGTTGACAATTCTTATTTCAGTTATCAGTGTTGGAAGTGCTGCTTGTCTAGACAAGTACGCACAGACAACATTTATAAATAAAATCATAAAGTGATCATGCGAAACCGATGACAGTGATGAAATAATCAGACAATAATAAATTTGGGCGGGTAACAGTGAATGAATGGAGTAGAAGAGGAGGCAGAACGATTGTGGCTCAAAATTGTGATTGGCAGACAATTCAGTGCTCAGTTCTTCGCCAAGGACGACCGAAGAAAGAAAGAAAGAAAGGGGTTGTAGATACAGAAAAGAAGACACAAAAGTGTAACGTCATAACCAACACTAGTGACAAGACAGCTACGAACTGAAAGCCTAGACACGCCTGTTCCGCTGACTGCTGCTGACTAACGCAGCTGCGAGGGGGATCTGGCTTACCAGTCATCGGGGCATTTATCGATCAATGTGTGTTTCTGAGCAGAAGACTCGTCAGTGTTGTTATTCTAGCTTGTTAAATATCCGAGAGAATGTGTGCGTTGTCGTGAAGCGAATCCTTTACAAAAGACTACAAAACCAAGCCCGGTCCGAATAATGGCATGGATTTTTAAAGTAAGAAGCATCAACTACTGTGGAAAAGCCGTTTAATAGCTATTAACATACACTCGGCTGTATACAACTACGTAAGCATTTATCATTTGCATTCACCGGGTAAAAGAATATACACGCGTGCTTTTTAAATTATATGCGGCTGCTTAACGCGGTCCCAGGGGCGTCGAATCGTGCTAGGGTCTTCCTGGCGATGCAGATGTGATATCGGAGGTAAGAACTCCAGTGTCATTATCCAGCATTGTTTAGTTTCCCAGGTACTTGCTACGTAAACTTGTAATAAATTCGTCGGAACAGACTAATTTTAGCTAGGCCCGAATATGAATGTGGACATTTTAGTTGAAATCCATCAACTACTGTGGTAGAGCCGCGTCATATTCTCAAACTGCCACAAGACAGTCAGCGGTATAGTATTTGTTAGTGTAGTATAATAGCGGCAGAATTCTTAGCTTAAAGGCCACAAACTTGTGTTTCAACTTGTGAGCCCATCCCTACTCACAATCCCCAAGAAATATCATGTACATAAGCAATGCCCGATGTCAGTACTTCAATCAATTCTACGGCGTCCTCGGCAAGCAATGTGCTTCACAACACTGATCCAGTGTTGCGGGCGAATAGTGCGGGTACTGGACTACTCAGACGAAAATTGACCCCTGACATTAGATGCCGCAATGTGCGAACGTTTCTGGCCGCCAGGACCAAAACTCAGACCGTACACAGCCCTTTATCAGTACAATGTAGCCGTCTGTTGCCTGTCTGAAGTCCGAATTCCTGATTCCAGGAGTCGGACAATAAACATTGCAGGAGCAAGATCACACTGCATCGTACATTGCAGTGGCCCACGCGACTGCTCCGGTAGACATGCTGTAACAATTTTCTTCTCTCAACAACCGAACCGTGGAGTGCTTGCATGTGAAGTAACCATCAATGAAGACCTCAGTCTATGAGACAGCTTTCAAAATTCTTAGATAAACTCACCGACACCGCACCAGTTGCATTTCTAGACTAATTCGGTAATTGTCTGCAAAGACAGCTCGAGCTAGTTACTGTAGTGATGCTTCCTTCCGCCACATGAGAGATACTGGCAAAATCTGCTCGGCAGGACCGAAAGTATATGGTGAGCTCCACTAAGTAGACCTCAAACGCTGCTGACGCTGCTTTAAATCTTACAAATGCTTCGAAAATTTAAAAGGTAAGGGCCTTTTTTCACTTAGTGACTCTGTTTGTGCCGCGAAGGGCCATTTTTTGTGGCTGACACGAAAGTTATGCTCGAGCACAGGTGTGTGTGCACCTCCGCTTCCCCCCATGTGCAGCGCAGTCTCTTCTTTCTCCTACCTCTGCAGTCTTATGCGATCTGCCTTCTGAAAGACCGGTCGCCGACGTCATACAAGGGTCGCTCAACAATACAGTTCATAGAAAGGAAGGTATGTCCGCTGAAATCTACAAGTCTTGCCACCCTGGCCCCATAAAAATATGTATTGAATAGGTGTGGGAAAACGAGACCGTTCTTGATGACTGGGCTTAGGCATCTCGGGGGCCGTTGCCTGCCTTCTCGCACCACTGAAAAATTGGAGTCCTACATGGATCGGAGGCAACCATAAGGCGTCAGATAACGAAATCTTTGTAGTTGTCTACACGAGGCAAGACAAAACACGATGCGGGAACAACAGTGGCATAACTCTCACCGACGTTGTTGCGAAGGT